GAAATCTAACCTTTTCCCAGATATTTCCTCTGATATTATTTTGGCCTTCCTCTTCATATCGACCATCATCATACACCCAAAAATGGGTATCACGAGGGCATTGTACATTTGCAAGCTGAATACAAGCATTGATTGATTGAATTTCCTATATACCTAATAATTATTTAGACTATTCTATACTTGAGCTTTGGGTTAACATAATATAGAAATCAACAAACTGATGAGCATTTGATTCAAATACTTGACAACAAATTTCTAAATTAAATTACCGTGCCAATCTCAATTGAAGTATATACAAGCAAGCTTTTCAGTCTTTATCGAAAAACAATATTGCCACAGCAGTCACTCTAACAAAGTTAAATAGATAAAAGATGCTTCAGCAAAGAGCTACAGCTTTACATTAGTGTAAAGCACCCCCATTTCTCCAGGTTTTTTGTTGCATCAACATAAAACAATTGACAAAACACAGTCAGACTTGGTAAATTCCCAGATTTACCAACCTTCAGTATTCTCAGCTCAAGCTTCGTAATTTCTCGACCATTCATGTACACCTCAGTATTCCCATTGCTCGCACTCGGGCTTAGTTTACCCGTAAAATTCAAATTCGAACTAATAATTCTATCAGACTTCTCTCCCTCCTGTCAAATTGAACACACCACAAACTGAATGACCACATTTTCCCTCACTTATTTAAAAAACAATAAATGAAAAAAAAAATTGAGTATACAAAAAATCTGTTATTTTTACCTTTCCCCAAAGACCTGATTCTTTATCATACCAATACGTGCCCGGCTTCAACTTCCTAGGCGGCAAAGGGCACCCGAAAAGCTCTGCCATCTCCTCCGTCTTCAAAGGATACCCGTTCACAATCAACTGCTCCGGCCGGAGCTGATTGGCCGCACACTCCTTCTCGGCCTTCATGATATGCTTAACCTCCAATGGGCTGAGCAAACGAGACAAAATCCTCGAGTGCTTACCCAATCTGCACCTCTTCACCTCGTCAATCGGCTCCCCTATACACGTCACACACTTACGTCCTTCGGGCATCGAGCCCATGGCCTGGAGCACACAGTTGCTGCAATATTTTTTTAATCTCCCACTTCCCTTTCCCGCACCTATAGCAAACCCTCGCCTTTTTCCTATTTTTCTTCTTCTTCTTCTTCTCCTTGGCTAAGCCCACCACAAATTCGGGGAAAACCTGCTTTTCCCTATCGGCCAATTGCCGTTCAGACCTATCAGCCGTGTTGAAAGTCACCACCATAGGCCGCCTTGCCTCGTTTGGAGGGAGTGGCCCGTCTTGCCAGCTGTGGACCGAGCCCGACGAGCCCGAGCCCGAGCCCGATCATGAAGAGAAATCATCGTTCTGCAAAATGGACACAACTGACTCGGTGCTCTGGGACAGTCTTCTTCTAGGGAGGGGGATAGGCTCGATCACAGGGGCCGAGTAACGGGCCACGGATCGTCTAGACTCTGAAAGAGGGTCGGCAATTGGGATTGGGCCGGGTTCAAGTCGAGGGGCTCGGCCTGTGGGATGTTGTCGTAAGGTACCGGAGGCCCATTGTACTCGAGGGCTATCGAGTAGTCCATTTTGTCATCGTCCGGGATAGGGGCACCTGGTGGGAGCATCTTCATGACCATATCCCTCCAGTTATCTGCCTCGTTATTCTCCATTTTTTTTGCTAGGAGGAAAATATTTCTTTTACCGACGATGAAGCTTCTACGCCATGGCTAGATTTGGAAGCCTTCAAATCTGAAATAATTCGATCAAGTGCAGAATCTTGGGGTTTTTTTTTTAAAAGACCCAGAGAAATCAACCGTCCGAGCGTGGACTTTTCAGCTAGAAAGGCATTCAAACATTTCTCAGGTCGCATAAAAAACGCACAGAGGCAAAAGGGCAGACAAAAGTCGAGAAACTTTCGAGTCAAAAATGGTAAACTTGTGAAAAGAAAGCTTTCAAGATTCTGAAAGTTAAAAAACTCAGAGCACGAATTCGAATAAAATACTAGATTTTTTTGTTAACCTCGACTTTCGAAGCCAACTTCCTCACATGACCCGTAAATTCTACAAGTTTAACCAGAAAGCCAAGGACTTTTGTCACTCGGCAGCAGCCCATAAAGAATTAAAATAATCAAAGTAAACAATTTTCACCATTATTTTCCCTTTTAAAATTGATGTCAAACCTTGCACCTATATTAGGAAATCTCTTTAAATTGTAATGGGCAGACAGCAAAATTGCAAACCTTTTATAACTTTTTGATAAAGATGCTGCAAAAGAAATGTGTGTAAGGTTGAAAAATGAAGACCTTTAATGAGCACACACATGTAGCTGAGAAAAAAAGACAAAGGGCAGGCAAATTAACAATGGGTGAGTGAATCAAAAATCACTAGCTTTACAGAAAAAAGATCTGCTTTTTAAAAGCTCCAAAGCTGTGCTGTGAGCTCTCGACACTACCAAAAGGGGTAAAAGTCTCATGACTCTACACTCCCCTTTTGTAAAATAGTATAAAAATTATACTGTAAATTACATTCAGTGATTATAAACTGTATCTTGCATTTACATACACATGTTTTGTATGCATATATATGTAAACTTGAGTCAATATGTCAAATAATCGTTGAAATCACCAACAAAATATACAAAACCTAGATCACCATTAAAGTTGAGCTTGGAGCTCTGTAAATGTTCAATACAAAATTACAGTAGAAAACCCCCAGCTAACACACTTATATCACGTGGGGAACAGAGAAGCTAATAGAAAGATAACACATGTGCCAATAACTAAAACACGTGACAAGAAGAAAGTAACAATGGAAAACAAGTGCGACTTAGTAAGTGTAGCGCGACTTCAGATAAAAGGAGTAATGACAGATAAAATGCTAAAACACTCTGCATGAACATAAACCATGCACCATCAATTGCTTTTCCCATCAATCATGACTGAATCTCCATCTCCCTTCAACAATCTGCACTCACCTTTTGTAAAAATGAACTGTAGTTTATCCTTTTCCACAAATTTTCCAACAGACAGCAGGTTATATTTGAACTCAGGAATCACCAAAACATCTTTGAGTGTGATTTCATCATTAAACCTCACCTCACCAATCCGAGTTACTTTCACTTTTGAACCATCTGGAAGGTTCACAACAATAGGCACTGTAGTCACTGATTTCTTGCAAACCAGGTTAATATCAGAACAAATATGCTTACTTGCTCCTGTATCAATTATCCATGAGCCCCTACTGAGTTTGCTGATTAGAGAAAAGGCATAGTCTTCCTTATCTTCTGTATAGTCAACAAAGTGTGAGAAAGAATGAGTTTCTGTGGTCTGTTGGCTAGACATGTATTTGGCAATTTTCTTTTGAATCAAGGAGCTTATGTCACCTAGTGAATCACTGTGCTGTGACTTGGTTTCTGAGTCAGCCTTTGAGGAGCCTTCACTTTCTGCCATATTAACATTTTGTGATTGCCTTTGCTCCTTTAATTCTTTACACCAGTCAGGATAACCCTGTAATTTAAAGCAACCTTGGGCTTCATGACCATTAAACCCACAATGTGTGCAGTAGAGCTTTGCTCTTTCTTCTTTACTTAGTCTTTGAGTGCCCCTTCCTCTACCTGCATTATTATAAGATTGTGTTCCAAAACCTCTACCACCTTTATTAAAAACTTGTCCTCTTCCACTACCTCTGCCAACATTTCCCTTCACAAACATTGCTGAGCTTTCCAAATGATTCAAACCAACAGTGCCCAAACATTTATGCTTTTCTANCTTTAATATCATAGAGTAAGCTCTATTGATAGTAGGCAGTGGTTCCATTAGTAAGATCTGATTCTTTACTGGTTCAAACACCTCATTTAGACCCATCAGAAACTGCATCAGAGTCTCCATTTAATTATCACTGTATGCCTTCTTTGAACCACATTCACATTCAAGAAGTGACACAATGCATGAGTACTCATCCCATAAGCACTTTAACTTTGTGTAATATGCAGTGACAGTTAAGGATCCTTGTGAAAAGGTAGCAATCTCCTTCTGCAACTGATATTTAAGGGGACCATTGCTTTCACCATACCTCTCGTCCAACTCATCCCATAATTGCTGAGCATTTTTTGTATAGATGAAAGCTTCAAAAATATCCTTAGAAATAAAATTAAGCATCCAGGAAATGACCATAGATTGTACCTTCTTATATTGTTCGAACTCCTCTGTACCCCGTTTTGGAATTTCCACCGTTCCATCGATGAAGCCAAGCTTCGACTTAGCTCCTAGGGCAAGCTTCATCGCATGACTCCAATGTAGATAATTTCCACCAGTGAGCAAATTAGTTACCAGAACCAAATCAGGATGATCGGATCCATGAAGAGAGAGTGGATCTATATCTCGAGTGTAGGTGTACCGCCCAACGATCAGTCGACCTTGCTCATCAATGTTCTGCGCCATCGGAGATTAGAGACCCGCTCTAGATACCATGTAAACTTGAGTTAATATGTCAAATAATCGTTGAAATCACCAACAAAATATACAAAACCTAGATCACCATTTAAGTTGAGCTTGGAGCTCTGTAAATGTTCAATACAAAATTACAGTAGAAAACCCCCAGCTAACACACTTATATCACGTGGGGAACAGAGAAGCTAATAGAAAGATAACACATGTGCCAATAACTAAAACACGTGACAAGAAGAAAGTAACAACGGAAAAGAAGTGCGACTTAGTAAGTGTAGCGCGACTTCAGATAAAAGGAGTAATGACAGATAAAATGCTAAAACACTCTGCATGAACATAAACCATGCACGATCAATCACATTAAGCTCCATAATTCCAACAATATACACATACATATAAGTTTAGCTGTGTGTGTGTGTCTGTGTGATGTGTAGATGAAGATGATGACAGAGAGAGAGTGGGTCCACATGAGTGCACGGTTTTGGAGTTAGTGGTGTCCGTTGTGTTGTGATGATGAAGGTGAGATGTATATTTTGACTGTGATGATGGAGCGTGTTTTACACGCTCGAGACTGCGGCTGGGCAATTGTGAGATTCACTGATGGACGCGGTTCGTGCCACGTGGTGAAGATTTTGAAATATTATTGTAGAAGCACCTCATATTTAGCGTAATTGTAAAAAAAAAAACCCAACTAAAAGTTCCTATTTTCAGTTTTTCACGCAAGTTGTTGGGTGGGATTGTTAGGCCACCATGTTGGACAAAACAAATCCAATTTCTCAGACTCAGCGAGTTTGTTTATATAAATTTTTAAAAATTCAGAATATTTTAATTCAATTATTTTTATAACTTAATTTTAATTCAATTTCATTATCATCAATATTATCAATATAATTAAATAATATCAATCAATAATTCATACACACCACATCAATCTTAATTCACTATTTATCCACTCGTATTATTTTAACTAATCATCAATTCAGATCATTTATCTCATATTTTTACATCAAATCAACTTTTATTATTTTAATTCAAATATTATTTTAATATAATCACTAACAACTAATCATACCACTTTTTTCAAAACTAACCAAATCAAACCAAAAAATCTAAACAAAACAAAAAGAATCTATAAAGTGGAATTTTGACTTTATATTAAAATAATATTTAAAATAAAATAATTACAGTTGATTTGATATAAAAATAAAAGTGGAAGACGTATGTTGTGAAGTAATTGTCAGCTAAAATTATGTGAATTGGTGAATAATAAATTACAATCGATGTGATGTGTAAGAATAATTAGATAGTATTATTTAATTATATTAATAATATTGAACATAATGTAGTTAGGTTAAAGTTGAATTAGATTGAGTATAAACTGAGTGTGAATGGAATATATTTTCATATACAAACAATGGAAAAATTCTATTAAATCGTGTTCAAAGTGTATTTATTGTAGGACACGTGTCAATACACTATTTGTGAATAACTGTGGAGGACTCCATAAGTCGAGTCATCCGATGTCTCC